AGGGGCTTGGAGCAAGCTGCTCTAGTGGAAGGGGTCCCTGCCTGTGGCAGGGGTTGGAGGTGGATGGGCTTTAAGGTCCCATCATCCCAAACCAGGCTGGGATTCCATGACTCAGCTATTTCCCTACCAGCCTCACCTATCCTCTATCACAGAATCTTGCAGCTATAACCCCACATGGGCATTATCCCATCACTTAAAATGACATTACCCTCATATCTTTCTCGATGCTCTCAGGAGCCCCACAGAGAGGTTGCCATTGAAAAGAAGGAGGAAGAGCAATTAAATGGGAAAGCTAATGAACCCAGACCTTGCAGATAGTGTAACGCAGGGTGACAAGTGACTCAGGGAGACACCAGACTTTACATACAAATGATCAAGCTTTTCCCCAGGACCTCCCCTTAAATCATCAGAAATAAGACTATTTTACGCTTTCAGATGAGGAAGAACGTACTGGGTCTTGCAGGACCATCACAGATGAATTGTAAATGTGATTCCAAGTTTTCCTTGCTTTAGGCTCCTCTGCTTCCCAAAATACTTCCCAGAAACTTGCCAAGCACCTCCCCTTGAACAGCTATTACACATTTATGTGCTGCAGAGGTTCCCTACAAGCACCCCTGGGCAATCCAGGTTAATCCACTTGGGAATGGCAGCTACACAGACCCCAGTCACACAAAGCCCTTTTGTTAAAAGGCATCAGGTTCCTCCTGGTGAAATGAATCCAGCTCTCCCGGGCCTGCCAAGTACCTGCCAGCTGGGTCAGGCTGCAAGAGGGAAGGGAAAAGAGCTGGGATGGAGCAAGAGACTCCAGGGAATGAGATGCAAGAAGGAGAAGGACCAGGAGAGCAGCAGAGGGGCTTGCCTGAGAATCCTTCCTATAAAGGCAGGGAAGGGGGTGTTGGAGGGTGCTAACTTCCAGTCCTTTCCATGGCAAAAAACAAGTGGAGAAGCAGCAGAAGATCCATGGCACAACCCTGAATCCATGATAGATACAAGAGAGAAAAAGGAACTGAGTAAAAGAGACAAGGCTGAGTAGCAAAGGAGACAAGGGAATTCCTGCTGCAAAGACATGGGGAGGCTGGGGGCTCCACCTGGCAAAGCAGGAAAAGCCCTGGGAGTAGGAATGAGGGCATCCAACACATTCACACAATGCCATTGGGATTCCCAGGCTTTACATCCTACCACTTCTCTGGGCACCCTGTGCCAGCGCCTCGGCACCCTCACAGGGAAGAGCTTCTGCCTAAGAGCTCAGCTCAGTCTCCCCTTGGGCAGGTTAAAGCCATTCCCCCTTCTCAAGCTGGAGAACATTGCTTGGAGATATAATACCCTGCTTCCCATCTTTGCCTCTTGGATTTCAGTACCATTTATTACCCAGTCATAACTATGACAGCTCCAGAGCCGCTCTACTGAAGGTTCATCAATCACAGCAGCTCATCTGCATATTAATCACCTTCTGGTAGGGAAAATGCTAATAGTGTGAGCTATAACAAACACTTGTAGAGCTTCATGCTTGAAGTCAAACAAGCTACAGGGCACACTGCTTCTTCATCCCTGATTCCACACCATCGAGCCGCTCTACTTGCTGCAGGACTGATGCCTAAGTAAAAATGGACACAAGGAGAACGTTGAAAGGAAAAGCAGGAGGTTCAGGAGCTCACATTGGGGCAGGTAAAGTGAATTGTACCAGTAAGGCAAAAACAAATGAGAGCCCTTAAACTCAACTGAAATGACAGCTTACAGAAGCTCCACGTTAATTACAGTCTGGTCGAATTAAATAGGAAACAGCACTCAAACACTGCTTCTGCTGATGGTCTAAAATCCACTGAAGTAGCAAAGTGGAAGCAGTCGCCAGCCGAGCACAAGGAACCAGGACTTGCTGGAGCACAAACCTGGTGCTGGACACATTTGCAGTGAGATTATTCTCTCCATGTCATAGGATCCCAGACTGGTTTGGGTTGGAAGGGACCTTAAAGCTCCTCCAGCTCAGCACCCTCCTAGGGAAGAGCTTCTGCCTAAGAGCTCAGCTCAGTCTCCCCTTGGGCAGGTTCAAGCCATTCCCAAAAGCAATTTTCAAAGCAATTTGAGGTGGAAGCATCTACTAATCCTGAACTTTATGCTTCTCCTGTGAAAGGTCTATTTTATTTAGCTCTATGTGTTTAATTATCCTCCAGAACAGCTTGTGGCTACATCAGAAACTGATCCACAGCTAAACGACACAAGTTGAAGCAATAGAAATGAAGCACAGAATGCAAGAATTAGGTAGACAGAGCCTGTCATGCAGTACACACAGCAACCTTCTTTCAATAACTTCCAAAGGGGAGTTGCCTCTTTTCTCTACAAAGAATAAAACTTACATTGCAAAAGAAGGGAAGAAAATACAACTTTAGGTCTTTCGTTAAGTATTCCAACAAATTCATATTTAAATGCTTTTCTAATACTATTTGCCTAGCAAGGAAAATAGTTCTTTGTTTAAACACTTCTTAACCTATTCTCTACTTTGGGACTTAACTGTAGGAATTCAGCCCCCTGACTCCTTACCTTAAACCTGTGCAATGGGAAAACCAAGTATTAACATGAGTCAACTCCTGCTTCGATGTCCTATTTCAAGCAGTTGCTTGAATCTTCCCTCTTGGATTTCCACTGACATAACTAAGGACCTTCTTACAGATTTTCAAGCCTCATCTGCCTCCAGCTTTATTCCTCCAAGCTCCTCCTGCACATCTGCCCTCATTCCTCTTCACACACCACAACCTCTGGAAGACAAATGCCTCAAGTCCAATGGTTTGGGGTGAAACCAGTCTCATGGGGGCCACCTCACCATGAGCACTACCAGAGGTGGCACAAGCTGGCCAAGGAGGGCAGCAGCTTTATGCATTGAAGTGCATTGGAGTGACTGACCAACATGTTATTTTAGAAGCTAACATCTTATTAATGTTGATGCTCAACTTAGAACAGAATCACAGAATCAACCAGGTTGGAAAAGACCTTTCAGCCCATCCAGTCCAAGCGTTCCCAGCACTGCCAAGGCCACCACTGTCCCATGGCACTGAGGCCTCCTCTCCACGGGGTGTGAACACTTGCAGGGCCGGTGCCTGCAGCCCTGCCCTGGGCAGCCTGTTCCAATGCCTGAGCACCCTCTGGGGCAGGAATTGTTCCTCAGCTCCATCTAAACCTGCCCTGGTGCAGCTTGAGGCCGGTTCCTCTTGTCCCATCCCTTGTTCCTTGGGAGCAGAGCCCAGCCCCTCCTGGCTCCATCCTCCTCTCAGGCACTTGTAGGCAGCCATCAGGTCCCCCCTGAGCCTTCTCTTCCCCACACTGAACCCCCCAGCTCCCTCAGCCCTTCCCCATCACACTTGGGCTCCAGGCCCTGCACCAGCTCCGTTGCCCTTCTCTGGCCCCGCTCCAGCACCTCAATGTCTCTCTTGCAGTGAGGGGCCATGACTTCAGAATGCAGTCATGTGGAATTCATTCACCTAAACCTGAGATCACCCTCTGAAATTCTCCTTCCAGAAGGCTCAAGGTACAAACTCCATCCAACCCACACCTCAATACTGAAACAGAATTGTCTTAGCAAGTGTCAGAAAGCTTCTTCAACATTCACTTTTGTATGAAAGCACATAGAGAAAATCTACTCTGAATGGATATTAAGGGGGAGCTTTGAGCACACACCAAAAGGAAAAGTGGGAGAGGAGCAGACTCTTGTCCAAACCCTCCTTGTGCTGAAAAGCACAAAACTGCTTGTACTTCTAGTGTAGGAAAATAACTGCACTCCCGAGCTCCTTCAATCACCCAAGCACTGCTGGAGCCTGCAGTCCTCTCACAATAGGGATGGTTTTGAAGAGCCTGTTACTCACAGAGACATTTTCTTTTGCAAGCCTCTTGTGTTTTGACCGTGAGACCAAAGGTCCCTCAAGCTCCTGTATCTGCAACAAAGCAGCATGCGTCAATTTGATGGGGGAAAAGAAAGGGTGAATAAGAACAGGGCAGAACACCTTTGAGGAACTCTGCTCCCCAGGGTCTCAGACAGGTCTCCTCACAGCCCTACTGATGTACCAGCTGAAAGAGCCACCTAAGTCAATGAGGATATATTGTAAATGAAGTAGCTGAGAACATCTGATGTTGATTTCCCTTTGCTGTTGACCATCCTTCTCCACAAAAGCCCATTCCCAAGCGATTTCACACGTTAGGTAGAAGCCAACACATGCAACTGGCAATGCAAAGGTAAGTCTTAGCACAACATGACACTCGAAGTGTTAGAAGGAGTCTCCCAAGGCTGGTTTAGTAGGGAGTTTACATGAGCAGAAGAAGACATGATGAACATAATCCATAGGGAAAACCACAGACACACCTCAGCTGAGGTTTTCTTCTTCTGAAGCACTGTTCCTCTCTGAGCTCAGTTCTTTCCATATCAATACACTTTGGTTCCCCACTGATAACATAATTATGGTAAACATATTTCCATGTCCTTTTCAAGTGTTCAAAATGACATTTTAGACAACGCGGTTCTGAAGATGGACTTGAACCAGACCTCAGCCTTCCTGATCAACACAAGAAGAACTCAAGCAAAGCATAATGTGAATGCAAAACAAGATCCGTAATCATGTCACTTAAATCACCACCTGTAACAACAATATATCCCAGTGTCTATGGGACCTGCACCTCCACAGCAGGATGACTCCAGCACACGCTCACACTCAGTTCAGGTCCATATAAGACCTCCAGCAACTCCTTGTGTGTTTTGTTGGTCTAAAGAAACCCCCTTTTGACCCTTTTCTTTAGGATTTCCAGGACATCCTTACCTTATGAATTCAGATCCAGCTCTCCTCACTAACCTCTACTGCACTGGCTTTGCTGAAGAGCTTTCCCTACAAGCCACATTCCCATCTGGCTCCCTATGGGAACTCTTTCTCCCTTCATTAAGGGATGAAGCACTTATTAATGATCATCTGCTCCCAGCACTGAGTACAGACATAGATGGAAGAGCCATTGGACACTGGTCCTACCTGTGTATGCCATGTTCTTCGGGTTTCCATAGGGAGCCCCAGGTTGGACGGGGCTGTAAACAGGGTTCATGATGGAAGACTGGGAACTCTGAGGACAAAAGAAAAGCAGAGGTGAGACGATTGCTTTACGTTAGCTCCAGAGGTATCTTCTTGCAGAGAGTCTCTTGCTACATGATAGAATCACTGCGTTACAATTCAGGACACAAGGAGCTGCGAAGGGAAGGATTTACAGTGAGGCATTACAACCACACAGCATATTTAATAATTCAGGTTATGGAGCTCTCAGTTAATTCCCCAAACTTCTTCACTGCTGTATATTCTGCCTACAAACGTACCCAGAGCAGATTAATTTTACACATCCCTGCCTTCAGGGGGTCCGGACTCATGACCCCACTTCTGGCTTGCGATGAACAAAGAGGAGAAGGTGGAGATGCAGGCAAGGAATTCTCCCTACTTGAGGAGCTCGTCATTGCTGGGTGAGAAAAACAACCCCAGCGCAGACCTGACCTTTCAGATAAAAGACCATTTGCTGCTGGTGAGATGGAGGGTGGCAAACATGTGGGAGCTCTCAGTGTGAGCTGGCTCCAATAAGTTCGAGCCCAAGGCTGGGGTCCTGTGCGAGGCTGAGCTGGGTGCCCAGTGCCCCCATCACACCCCACCACTAGGGTCCACATCCCATGTCCCACATGGGGAGATGCAGTCACAGATCAAAGACAAGCATAGAACCATAGAATCGCAGCCTGGTTTGGGTTGGAAGGGACCTTAAAGCTCCTCCTGTTCCAACCCCTACCATAGGCAGGGACACCTTCCACTAGAGCAGCTTGCTCCAAGCCCCTGTGTCCAACCTGGCCTTGGGATGGGGCAGCCACAGCTTCTCTGGGCAGGCTGTTCCTGTTCCAATAAAGAGCTTCTTCCTTAGATCCAACCTAAATCTCCCCTGTGTCTGTTTGAACCCATTCTCCCTTATCCTACCATTACAGTCCCTGTTAAAGAGTCCCTCTCCAGCATCCCTGTAGCCCCCTTCAGACCACTGGAAGCTGCTCTGAGGAGCAATGAGATTTTAACAGCCCTTGTGCTTCTCCCCCAGTACGGATGATGAGGCAGGGCTGGGTTTGCTCCTTGTTTTATTGAGAGGAAAGCCAGGAACTTGGGAATTCGTGTCTCCTCACTGTCAGCGAAGCAAGCGGCTCAGTTAATTATCTTAATGAAGCACATTCTCACTTCTGATGAATGGGAAAATCAGTCATTAAGCTTTATTAGGCTCCCCATTTGTCTCCACCGCCATCGAGTGACAACTTCACACACGAAGCTCAGCGCTCTTGCTGCAAAACGCGAGGGTTTTGTCTCTAAATGTATTATCTGACACTTCCTACCTAAACCCATTCTTCCCGAGCAAGCCTCTCCCGATGGATGCGCAATTTGTTAGGGCATTTCCTCCTTCCTCTTCACCTCAGGATAGGAAAGGAGTCAAATGGTAAACGCTGGCACCAAGGGACTTGACAACACTCACTGCTAAATTATTTGGCCATCCCTCCACCCCCGAGTTAGCCCAGAAGGAGCAATTCCCACAGCAAAGGGAGTCACAGAGATGAAAAATGCTGGAAGAGGACATAGATTTCATGAGTAAATCACTAACGTAAGACCAAGAGGAAAATGAACACAAGACTTTCCATCCATGAGACATTAGAGCTGGGATTTATGTTCCAGGATAAGGATTTTAGGGCCATTTGGTCCTCGTGTCACCAGGCAGTGCTGTGAGCCAGTCCCTGGCAAATGGATCCTTGCCTTATGGCTTCAGTTCTCCTTTTCAGGGTAAAACCCAATGTCATCCGTCTCTGAGATGGGGAACATGCATTATGTGACACCTAGACATCACTGCTTACAACAAATTCCATCTTCATAGAATCCCAGCTTGGTTTGGGTTGGAAGGGACCTTAAAGCTCATCCAGTTCCAACCCCTGCCACAGGCAGGGACCTTCCACTGGAGCAGCTTGCTCCAAGCCCCTGTGTCCAACCTGGCCTTGAACACTGCCAGGGATGGGGCAGCCACAGCTTCTCTGGGCACCCTGTGCCAGCGCCTCAGCACCCTCACAGGGAAGAGCTTCTGCCTAAGAGCTCAGCTCAGTCTGTGCCAGGAGTTAAAGGGGTGCTACAGGGAAGATGGAGGCTCCCTTTGGACAAGGAGTCCCATGGGGAAGCCTAGGGGCGATGGGCACAAGTTACTGCTGGGGAGATTCCCACTGGACACAAGAGGGAAATGTTTCCCAATGAGAACAAGCAGCCATTGGAATAATGTCCCCAGGGAAGCGGTGACTCCCCAGCATTGGACACTGTTAAGATGGGGCTGCAAAGGGTGCTGGGCATCCAGTCTGGGTCATGCTGTGCCTGGAAAGGTTGGAGCAGATGACCCTTGAGGTCCCTTCCAACCTGGGATTCAATGATTCAATCAGACATGATCAGGCAATCAAAGCACTTTGTGCTAAGATTCCTTTGGTTACACCCTCTGCACATCGAGGTCTTCCTTTGAACCAGATTTAGTCTGGTTTGCAGCCTGGGCCCCAGCTGACACATGGTTTGACACTGCCTAAGGGACATCACCAGTATGGCCACCACCGGTACAGACTTCTGGGTCCCATGAGACATTGGAGAATGTGTGACAGGCAACTGGAGTGAAGCTCTGGAAGGAATCTGGTCCCCACACGCCAAGCTCACTGCATAGACAGAAACAACCCAGTCAATGGGAGTCACCTTCAAAGGGCAGTTCAGTTCTGAAGTGAAACACTAGGAATACACACAGCCCAGGGTTACTACTAGTCAAGATGCTTCAAGTAGTAGATGTCACAAATAGGACTTGAGAGACAAAGGTGTTAGAGGGTTGCAGAGATTTCCTGGCTATAATTAACTGTTAAATCACTACTAGGACTCTTCAAGCCCAGACAAGAAATGCCCAGGGGGGCAAGGAGTGTGACAGGCATTTATAGACACTAAACCACAGATGCCCTGGGGAAGGTGGAGGGGCAGCAATCACACACTCCTTCTCATAACCCAAGCAAGCGGAGGCATCAGAAGAAGTAAGGGTGTTGTAGGTTCAAAGCAAGCTGCTTGCCTCAGTGCGTCCCTTGCAGCCAAGACGGTGGCATTTGGAAAGCATCCCCAGGGATAGAGCAACTCCTCCTCTTGCCCAGACACCCTTCCAGACAGGCTTTTAGGCAGCGAGGACCTTCAACCATGCAGCCATCCTTGTGTGCCCAGGAGGAAAACCAATATCCAGGCTCAATTTTCATGGCCTGGACACCCAGCTAAGAGTATGATGCCTGACACTGGACCATGCTCCCAACAAATGTGCCTATGGTGCTGTATGCCTGGGAACACTGGGAGGTCCCCACACCAGTTCTGAATGCATCATTAAGTCATGGAACCCCAGCCTGGTTTGGGTTGAAGGGACACCTTAAAGCTCATCCAGTTCCAGCCCCTGCCACGGGCAGGGACCCTTTCCACTGGAGCAGCTTGCTCCAAGCCCCTGTGTCCAACCTGGCCTTGAACACTGCCAGGGATGGGGCAGCCACAGCTTCTCTGGGCACCCTGGGCCAGCGCCTCAGCACCCTCACAGGGAAGAGCTTCTGCCTAAGAGCTCAGCTCAGTCTCCCCTCTGGCAGGTTAAAGCCATTCCCCTTGGCCTGGCCCTACAGGCCCTTGTCCCAAGCCCCTCTCCAGCTTTCCTGGAGCCCCTTTGGGCACTGGAAGGCTGATGCAGCCCAGATGAAGTGGTAACAGCACTGAACAAGGCACTTAAGCAATGCAGCTGTGACACCATTTCAGATCTTTAAGGTCCCTTCCAACCAAAACCATTCCATGATTCTATGATTTTCTGGGTGTCAAGAGTACAAATAAATCATAATTTGGTGAGAACTATTGCATCCATCTGGCTTGCTTTAGGTAAATGGTAAAACACTCTTAGTGAGAAGGAAGAAAGAAAATGCTTTTTAGCTAGGATACAAAGATTATAATCATTACAGGGGTTTGAGTGCATTGTGAGGAAGAGGCTGGTGCTTCATCCCTGCTTGGTATGCAGGGTGTTATCTCCAGCCAGCACGAAGGAGTTCATGCAAACAGCATTTCAGACGGATGCTTTTCTTTCTTTCCAGAATCTAGCATTAAAGCACATTTAGATGAGCTTCCAATACATCCTGCAAGACAATATCATCCCAAAATCCATTTAAAAGTCATTACAGGCACCATATTGTGCCATTCGAAAAGCTACAATGGAATGGGAATAAAACAGGATTAGCAAAATTAAACCTCCTTCACCCCAATAACTTGCAGCACTTGCTTGTGGCCATGAATACACAACGAAAAGACCAACAGGAATTCATTATAAACAGGCAAACACCAGTATTTCTCTATTGCACAGAGCTTCCCCTGCATCCTAATCCCCCCAACAGTGATGCTCACAACCTGCTGAGGCTCCAGCAAGGAGCTGAAGGAGGAGCTCCAGCAGGAATGCCATGGGAATAAGCTGTTAGCAAACAGTCTCGGGATACTTTCTGCCTGTAACCTGGTTACATTTTCATCTCTTTTCTCTTCCCTATGCAAGTGCATGGCATGCTCCCACTGCACTAGGAAATGACTTGATGAAGGGCAAACAGCAATACAAGAGAGGTCGGTGGTCGGGTGGCCACCATGCCATGAGCAGACCAACGTGCCACTCAAAGCACGTTTGCACAGGGGATCTCCAAGCAGCACAAGAAGGGAAATGAAAATGCTTGTGCTGGGATGAGCTTTAAGGTCCTTCCAACCCAAACCATTCCACGATTCTGTGATGCTCTTCCTCGAGGAGCACTCGGAGCACTCAATAGCCAGCACAGGCATCGCCACCACCTTCCATCCACTGCAGACTCAACTCAAAAGGAACATCTTACCCTGGTTATTGTTAGGTTACTTCATGCCATTGAAAACACCGTGACCACCTTGGCTGCTTCTCAAAGACATTCACATCTTCCAATCCTGGTGGGTACCAGTGAATTTGAACATATGAACAAGCTTTAACCCAAGTATTTCTATGCACACATTGGTGGATCTTGCATCTAA